TTAGCTGTCCAATTAATTTCTTTACATTTTTTGGTAGAGACGGGGTCTCGCTCTTGCTCAGGCTGGTCTCGAACTCCTGAGCTCAGAATGATCCGCCCGCCTCGGCCTCCCAGAGTGCTAGGATTACAGGCGTGAGCCACCGCCTGGCCGGGAGTGGGAGCTTTTAAACATTTTTATAACCTCTTTAATATAAATAGGCACCCCAGTGTGATGGGGGAAATGTCTGGAATGGGCGGTGTTAAATACACCTCCCACCCCAGTCTCTAGCATCCCAGCAGATTTAGTTCTTTTTGCCACATGGAGTGTTAGATTCCTATGTTCTAACTTCAGGCAGCAATTAGGGCTTTTCCTGTTGAGGAACATTAGTGGTATGGACCAATGGGGGTTTCAGGACAGGCAGTGTGGCCTTTGCTTGGACCCTGCCTTTTGAAAATGGCTTTTGTCTCAGTTAACAGTCTTTGGATTCTCCGAACTGCCCGCCTTTCCCTACTCCTCAGCATTCCAGGCAGCCCTGGATGGAGATTACTGCTGAGGTCCGTTCTGCCCTGTCTCACTGAGCTGTCACTTTGTTCTTGCTTCCATGAGAGGGCAGTAGGATGGCAAGAATGCATCTCTCCGTCTCTCTCCTTCTCCCTCCTCTCCTGCCTTCTGACTTAAACCTACTTCTAGTCTGTTACAGACTCAAGGGAGAAAGGTTCATGGAACCAATGCTGAGAACGCTGAGAACAAGGGGAGGCTGAAGGGTAGGCAGCAGGCAGCATGTGGCCATGTGGAGCTGGTGAAAAGCCCATCAGCAGATCAAAGGAGCAGGAGGGAGCCTGGGCTTAGGAATAACAGGATGATGTCAGTGTGATTGGAAAGTGCGAACAACACCACGGAGCTGTGCAAAGAATTGAGACCAACTGGGTAGAAATGAAACCTGGAAAATAAACTGGACTGATGATCGGCTTGGTGAGCATCTCCCTAGAACAGAGGCAATACGCAGACAGGGTGTTCAGCTCCCTGTTGCTTGCAAGCCCCCTCCTGTGTTGTGTGGGTTATAGGAGCCCCTGCCTTTGTGCTCTGGGCTAGAGGAGGGAGACTGTAGCACTGGAGACCTCATGGCTTTTAGGGGGTATGGTAAATATTCATGAAACTATTCTTATAAGCACTCCGCTGCACCCCTCCTCATGCAGATGGTAAGGTCTTATTTGAAAAAGCAGCAGAAATATGCCTTGAGATACTCAAGGACCTGGGGCTATGACAGGAGAAGACAGGAGTCTGAGCAGGGATGCGCTGAGGGCAAAGCTGTGCCATGGCTGCAGGCCCCCCACCTTCGCCTGCACCCTCCACAGAGCCCGGGGCAGGAGATTGCGTGCTCTAGGCCGGTGCCTGGAGAATGTCTTCTGGTTGGGGCTTTAGGCCCAGTGACCTGACAAGGAGCCAGGGTCCTTGAAGGGAGCTGAGTGTGGGATAGGATGGGTTTTCGGACACGCAGCTCTTGTTTGTCCATTTATGGATAATCTACACTCCTCCCTCTGCTTTCCCCACCCTCAAGATGGACCTCTGGCTGCCCTGTCATTGCAGTTAGTTGACATGGGTGCAGAGAATGCAAGTCATTTATTTTAATATTAGCTGTATTTTACTATTTTAATATTTGCATAGGCAAATTAGAACAAATCCCATCATGGAAAAATCATCTTTTGAAGAATTTAAGCTTTAGAATTAGATTGGGCTTAAGATTCTTGTGGTCCGACTATATTCCCATGTGTAAGAATGGGAATCTCTAGCTATATCTGGTATTCTTTGATTCTTGATAGGTTACTTGTTTTTCCATCATCTTGAGTAGTTATTTAATTAATAGTTAACATTTGCCCAGCTATTATCTATTTAATAAGCACTGTAACAAATATAGTCTAATTCCTATATAACCTTGCAACGTAAACACTACATCTCCATTTTGCAGAGTAGGAAGGAAAGCCTCAACTTGTATCTCTGCTTGACACCCTTATTCATTTTTAAAAATTCAGTTAATAAGCCTTTACTGGACATCTTTTATGTGCCAGAAACTAGGTACTAAGGACAACAGGGAACTAATTTGGTGAGGGAAACAGACAAGGAAATCAGCAATTATAATAGCTATTATGGTAGAGGATGGGGAAGACTCATCTCAGGTCACCTGACCCAGGGTCAAGGAAGGTGGCCTGGAAGAGGTGATGCTGTGAGGACCAGTGGGGCTTTGTCAGGGTAGAGTATATGTGTGGATGAGTGGATGTTTTAAGAATGTACATGGCAAAGTAGCAAAACAGCATGTTTATCCACAAGCAGGAGGAGAGTTTGGCTGGAGGTGAACCACCAGAGGCAGGCAGGGGCTGGGCCATAAGGGCTGTGGGCCAAGTGAGGAGGTCTGGGCTTTATCCTGAAGGCCGTAGGTGCTGTTTGTGGTCTGATATTTCCTCTGTCCCTAATTCAAGGTCTGTTTCCAGGTAGCACTCTTGGAGGTTTCACTCCCAACTTTTAAGCAGGAAAGCCTTTCTTTAATGTCAAGATGAACCTGGCCAGGGTAGATGGCCAAGGTAGAACCTGGCCCCCTGCTTGCCAAGCGAGGGGGATGTGGCTGCCAGACACTCCTTGCCTACCCCAAGAAACTCCCACCTCCTTCTCAGAGTCCTCAGAGCCCCACAGACCAGTTATTGAGCTCCTGCTGAGTGCAGGCTACCTCTGGGGATATGGAGACAGGAAGGCCTGGCCTTAACCTGAAACTGCTTCTCTTGAAGAGGGGGCGCTTATCCCCCTTCCTTCTCTTAGCCCAGTGATCATTGCAGATTTATTCCATGCTAGAGGTTAGGCATGCTGAGAGGAGCAGCACCGGAGGGTACCTGCTATGTGCTGCCACAGCGGGAGGGAAGCCGCCCCTTCTGCTTTTCTTTCTGGGACAGGCCCAGGCCTGGTGACAGTATCACCACAGTGTCTCATGGCCTCTTTGCTTGGCAAGTCAAGGCTCATAACCAGGGCTATCTGGGACACTTTTCTCAATATTAGCTCAGTTCCTTAAGGGCAGGATCTATGTCTTGGTCATATTCAGATCCCCAAGGCAGTGTTTGCCACACAGAAGGTGCTCAATGAGTGAACATTTGGGTCTCATCATATGACATTAGTTCACATTTATGGGACACTGACAGTATGCCAGGTACAGTCCTAAGTTCTTTAACTCACTTAATGAGTGTTACCTCATTTACTCTTCCCAAGAACCCTATTAGGTAGGCACTATTAATACTATATCCCAGTATTTTAGAGAAACAAACTGAGGCACAGAGAAGTAAATAATTTGCCTAAGGTTACATATCTGTAAGTGTGGAGCCAATTTGAGCCTAGGTAGTCCATCCCTGAAGCTGAGGTCTGAATCACTCTGCTTTACTGCCTCTCTTAACCGTCCTTAGGAAGCTTGGATTAGCTGTTCATAGGCCGTCAGACCTGCAGGCGACTGGTAATACCTGTGGGCACAGCAGATACTTTAACAAAGCATCAGTAAATGCCATGCTTAGGGCTTCTCCTTGGACCTTTTGACTCTTTAGCCATCATGTTCCTTGTTTGAGTCTTCAGGGTAGGGAATCAGGAAGTCTTAAAAATCTCTGATCAGGCCGGGCAAGGTGGCTCACACCTGTAATCCTGACACTCTGGGATGTGGAGGTGGGAAGGTTGCTTGAGCTCAGGAGTTCAAGACCAGTTTGAGCAAGAGCAAGACCCAATCTCTACAAAAAATAGAACACTTAGCTGGGCGTGGTGGCATGCGCTGGTAGTCCCAGCTATTCTGAAGAATTTAAGTGGAGGCTGAGGCAGGAGTATTGCTTGAGCCCAGGAGTTTGAGGTTGCAGTGAGCTATGATGTACTCCATTACACTGTAGCTGGGGTGACAGACTGAGACTCTTTCTCCCCTAAAAAAAAAAATCTCTGATTAGAAATTGTTCAGCTTGGCAGCCCAAGTGTTAGCGCAGATGTTTTCTGGGAGGAAGTCTTCTTAGCCTTAGCCCAAAAGAGATCATTGGCTGTATTTCCAAGGGAGGGTTTTCTTTTTCTCTTTTAGCTGACTCTGAAGAATTTAAGTGGAAATAGCCTTAGGTTTTCACTAGTCTTTAAAGTGAGATTTGTGTGTGAGAAGCAGAGCGTGGCCGCTGTAGAGGTACATTACTCGGATCTCCTTTCAAGAGACCCTGCCAAGGGAGTTTAGTAGATTGACAGCCTCCAGCTGCTGCCCTTTCCGTCCACCCTCCTTTGTGGCAAGGTCATGCTTCCACCTGATGATGGGACACAATGGGTCCGAAAGCAGGACCATTTCTGCCGGATGTGGGACTCCTCTAATGGCAACCTGCTTAGAGGCCCTCTGCTGGGCTGGCCAAGACTGTCTCAGAACTGTGCTGTACCCGGAGGCTCTTCCTTCCCTCTCTTCTGTCACAGTTATCAGACCTGCATTGTGTTCTGAAGGCTCTCCTCACCTCCTTTGTCCTTCATAAACATGTCTCTCAGTAAATCTCTTGCACATCTAATCCCATCTTGGCATCTGCTTCCCAGAGGACCCAATTGTCAGTCCCTGATGGAGGCTGTGGTCTCCAGGTTGCTGATGGTCAGCATGTACAGGGGAGGCTTCAGGGAAGAAGGGTACCCTCCTGATATTTTCCCCTCCCACTGCCTCTTAAAAATGAAAAATAGAAATTCCAGATCTTGCTACCTTTCTTTCACATGACCATCCATCATCATCTTAACTAAATATTGGTCTCTGAGTCTGCAATCTTATGATTTGGCTAATGGGGCTTGAGTGAGACAGATTTGTTATTTGAGAATGTGATAGGTGGTGATGGAGTTGAATAGTCCAATGCAGTGATTTCCAAGCTTACCAGTGGACCAGGAGTAAGGTTGTGTGTATCCAAATCACTATCAAAATTCTGATTCAGCAGGTCTGGGGTAGAGCCAGGAATCTATGTTTTAAAAAGCTGTTTGGGTGATTGATAACCATTAGTGTCAGAACTTGAGCACTGGCCTGTGGGTCAAGGGAGTGGTAGCTCCATCTTGCAGCATACCTCTAATCTCCTTTTATACATTCCTGATGTCTTCCTTTCTGACTTGGTCTGCTGCTGCCTAGGAGTCTCCTAGAACAAGCCAGCCAGAGGAGAAGAAGGATGTTTCTCTGGATTCAGATGCTGCTGGCCCCCTTACTCCCAGCAAGCATTCGAGCCAAGGTGCAGACAGCAGTCTGAGCAGCGCTGATGGCAAAGGGCGACAGAGACGAAGGACGAGTCCTGGGCTCTTAGAAAAAGAAGAGAATGAGAAGAGTGAGCCTAGGGCTTCCAGGAGTCTGGCGCCCTCCAGGGTGGGCCCCGGAGGCGATGAGCCTGCCAAAGCCTCTAAAAAGGACATGGTGGATGCAGGAGAGAAGGGTTCCAGGAGGGAAGAGGTGAAGGAGCCAAAGAAGGAGCCTTCTGCCCCAAAAGATAGCAGGTCAGATGCCAGCCAGGTAAGTCAATGTATCCCATAGGCAGGTGCCAGCTACAGCCCTCTGTTGCTCTCTTCAGCCCTGTCCAAGTGCTATCCCCACATCTTCATTACTGAGGCAGGAACTTCATTTGCAGTCCCTGCACTGGGCTGTCAACATCAGCCCAACCCTTAATTGTGACAAATATGTCCAGACCCAGCAGGCAGTAAAATCCTGAATGAAATTGCAAACCTGCTGGTACTGAAATTCAGAGCAGGAATTTGCTTTTCCGTTGGCACCCTCCTGGGATACTCATGTTCCTCTTTTTTCGTACTTATTTCCCCCTCCCTCTTCCTGCCTCCCCTTTCTGCTTCTTGACATTGGTAGGGTCAGTCATGGTTGCAATAGTCTGAGTTCCTATAGAGAGAGGAGAACATTGTATGTGGTGGGGGAGGTGGGGCAGGTACCACAGTTGGGAGTGTCCTGCCCCAGCATAGGTAATTAGGTTACAAGGAGACTCTTCTCATCAATTTCTGTGGCTCTTTCTAAACCAACCCAAGATATGGGAGTGGTTGCTTTGGTAAGACCAGGCCAATGACCAAAATAGACAGAAGTATAGGTCCCAGTGGAGACTTTGGTATTTTAGATTTTGTAACTCTTAGTCCTATTTCTCATCCAGGTAGATGGTGAGGGAATTCATTTAAAGAGCTTTTATCTATTTCCTGGAAAATGTGCTCTGATTCTGTTTTTTAGGACAGCATCAAACTTCTGTACTGCCAACTTTCTGACCACCTCCACCACACTTGGCTCTCCTTACATGTGTAAATCCTTGTTGATCTGATTCAGAGTGTGATTGTCTATATTCAGCTGGGCTGCCCAGCCCCAGGGGGGTGGAGGCTGTTGCATGTATTTGGAGAGAATGGCATAGTCAGTCCATAGGCCTCCTTAGGATTTTCAAGAAGCCTGCGTTGGCACCGTGGCCTGAACAGAATTCTCAGGACAGTGACTGTGGCCCTCTCTGCTCTGGGGGATTTCTCTGTGGTTTTCTCTCCCCAGGAGTCAGAGATTAGTGAACAAATGAAGGAACCACAGCTCTCAGACTCCACTGCTTCTGACCTCAAGTCCTTCCTTGGCCTGGTGAGTTTGTGATGAGGGTAGTCGAGTGGTGGTGAAGAGCATGGATTTGTGAGTCTCCAAGGTTAAGTAATTTGCCTAGCATCACAGCTTGTAAGCGGGGATATTAGAACTCATACTTGGCTCTTGTCTAGCTCCAGATTCGCAACCCATTAACTAAGGATAACACTACCTACTTTATAGGTTTGTTGTGAGAAGAAAGTGAGGTAGAGAATGTAAAATGTTAGCATATAAATATTAATGTTATTGTTATATATTTAATGGCATTAAAATGTTAACTGTTGTGACTGTTCTGAATTGCCTGTGAGATCATGTCAGTTGCCTCTGGGCTCTAGCAGGAACGTTACATGAACCTAGGAGGTTAGGGACTGATGCGTTTGTGTTTATGGGATCACTGAGCTGTGGCAAGGACCAGTCCCCAGACTCTGGCCAGGAGGGATGCTGTGGTTTCATTTCTAAAGTTAAGGCTTTGTCCTGGAATGCCAGCATACACAGTTTCTTTGTCGCAGACCTACCCAGCCTGCTGTATCCTGGTTTCATTTGCCAGGTCTGTATCTAAGGGGAGTAGTCTGGGGTGCTTTTTGGCAGAACATTACCTCTAGAAACCATCCTCCATCTGTTTCGAAGACGCAGATCAAAGGGAAGGGATTAGTGGGAGAGGGTCAGGGATGAGCAGTAATGATACGAGGGGGTGCTGAGGAATTAGGAGGCTGTGTGCTCTCGCCCCTCACTGAGCCATGGGCTTAGGAGGCAGATGGCAGCTGCATTAAGTGGAGTAGAACTCAAACTGAAAGGAAAATGTCACCAAAAAAGAAGAAAAGCCCATGAGCTAGGAAAGGAAGGCAAAAAGTCACGGTTGTTGGCAAAAACTGTCCATGAAGAATAGCCATGTCACAAAACTCTTGGAAGCAAAGGGTCTGGCTATTCTAAAGCAGTCACCCATGTGGAGAAATGTGCCCATCAGCATTTTTCTTCTCCATGGGAGTAGATGGAGGAAGCCGTGGACAGCAGGACCAGACCTTATCTGGGCATCCCGCCATTTATCAGGGCTGATGACAGAACTGTCCCCATTAGCATGCTGTTGGGTAGCAATCCACCACTCAGCCCGGCAGGGATCTTAGGCTCAGAAGGGGCGGGATTGTTGTCCTATGGCAGCCAAAGGGCAGCAAGGAACTGGCACTATTGTGGACACTGTCTGCCCCCAAGAGAAGCCTGTGCAGAAAGTGCCACTTATTGATCCCCATAGTCCAGAGGGGCACCTATATGGAAAGGGGGATGGAACAAGCTGGAAAGAGCCCACCAGGCCTCGTTTCCAGACTCTGCCCACAGGTTTTCTGGGTACTTTGGCCTGCCTTGTGGTGCCCTGGTTGGGCACTGGAGGGGGAGAGACAGCTGGAAAGTGACATACTTTGCAGCATGTGTCATGGAAAGAGCTTGGGCTTTGGAGTCAGCCCACGCTCCATGTGTCCCTAAACCCCTTGCTCATCAGCTGTGTGACCTTGGGCAAATGGCACATGCTCTCCACCTGTGTGATGAGGATGGGAGTTTCAGTCTCACAAAGTTATTTTTTTCCTCATAATTTTATGAAAAATTTCAAACATATGAAAAATTAAAAGAATTTTACATACTTACCGCCTATAGTCAACAAAATATTTTTACCATACCTGCTTTAGCACATATCTTTCTATCTAGTCACAATGTTATTTTGAAGATTAAATTGGTAGATGTTGAAATGTTTATTTAGCATGGAGCCTGGCACATGGTCAACACCTTTCTAGAAAGCTGGAGTTGGGTAGGGGAGAGGCCCAGGTGGGTGCTGACTATGACAGAGGCAGAGCTGACCTCGCCGTCTCCACTGTCTCCAGGACTTTGGTTTTCGCAGCCGGATCTCGGAGCACCTGCGGGATGTTGATGTGCTTTCCCCGGCCCTGGATGGAGCCCACTGGGAGGTGAGTCTTTCCGGGAGGTGGGCTGGATCTCATTTTCCCTAGCAGCCACTTTATGAGAGCTGAGCCCTGCCCATCCCAGGATACGTTTCTGGAAGTTCTGTCCCTTCTAATTCATTAAGGCATGGCCCTGACGTGCCCCAGTGGAGATTCTGACTATTCCTGCTCTGTTGCTGTGTGAATTAAAGCCTTTCCCCCCCATATATTTATCTGTTTATCCATTTATTCAGCAACCGAGAGTTGACCACGTGCTCGTGTGCAAAGCACTGTGGATGGTGGACTTCAAGGCACTTCCCAGCCTGGCCCATCTATCCTTTGCAGCCTTATGCCCAGCCCATCTGCTCCCCCACCAGCTGGGTCTGCCACTCACCATTCCTGGAGCCCTGCCTCCCTCCACCTCTGCTACTGCTACTGCTATTGCTACTGCTCTGCCTCCAGCCTGCCTGCTTGCCCTCCTTTCTGCCATGCTGCTTCCCCCGTTGTCCTGGCAAGCTCTTTCGTGGTCTTGGAGGCCCACCTCTGACACTACTTACTCTGAGCAGGATGAATTGTTCCCTCTCTTTGCTCCCCTCAGTGCCTCTTGTTTTGCTTTATGGTTGTTTGTCTGTCTCCGCTGCCAGAGGTAAGGTCTGGACAGGCATGGACGATGTCTGACCCACATGGGGTACAAAGATGACTCACGCACAGATCCTGTCCTTAAGGAGCTTCGAGCCAAGAAGATTGTTTTTTTTTTCTCCTTTGTGGGTTGGTTAGGAGAAGAGCAGTTGTGGCACATGGTCTCTGCAAGTTAAAGGGAACGTATTTGGTTTGGGCAAAATGGAAATTTGTTGGGTAAAACAAACAAAAAGATGTTTAATATGAACCCAGCCTGGGAGCCTCTAGTGCAATGCATGTTGGAGACAGGGTAGAGTGTTAAGGTTGATTGCACTTGAGCCCTGCATGTTTTTTGGTAAAGCCTTCCTGGGCCACTACCCAGCCACCAGGTCCCTGCTGGACCTTGATCACCCTGTTTGCAGTGCTGGAAAGATGTGAAGGCATAGACAAGGGCAGGTGGGATGAGTCAGGAAGGGTTTGGAGCAGGTGAATTGTGAGGCCCCTGTGGCAGTAGGTAAGTGGGAAAGTTACCTTGTTGGTGGGGCGAGGAGTGGATTCCATTGCTCTGGCTCCAAAGCCTGGCCAATATCAGAATTACTTGGGAGCTGGAAAAAAGATCTTTAGGGTCCTACCTAAGACTCAGCGAGGCCAGTAGCCTCTTTTTGGGGCACGTCGCTTGGTATAAAGCAGTAACAGGACCTGACTTGGATTTGGTTCTCATGAGGGACCCCCTTGAGGCAGCCAGCCCTGGCAGAGGAAGTCCTAGGCTATACCTGGTAACCGGCCTATCCAGGTGTGGGCAATTCTGGGTGCTCAGGTTGGCTGACCAAATGGATCCTTTTGCAGGGCTCAGCCTCTAGCTCTTTCCCATCTTCAGGGCATGGAAGGGCTGAGCAGGGAGGTGGAGCTGGAAGAGAGAGCAGCAGCCCCCTTGTGTGACAGCACTGTAGATGTAGTCCCCTTTATCCTTCCCGTGGGCTTTTGCCCATTTTGCCATATTCTCCATGTCTCCCAAGTATAGGACCTGGGCGTAGAACTGAACTATAGTAGTTTTTGTTCATTTAAAATATTTTGTATGCAGCTTTATTAAGATATAATTGACATGCAATAAACTGCATATCCATTTGATAAGTTCTACCATATGTATACACCTTTGAAACCATTACCACAGTTAAGATAATGATCATAATGAGTTATAAACATCATAAATTTCATAATAAGAAAAGTGATCATAAAATTATTTCAAATAATACAGAAGCCCAAGTCTTCCACTTCCTGCAGTCTTACTCCCACAGGCAGGGGGTGTGAGCAGTTTCCATTAACATTTTCCATACGCCTTTCCAGAATTTTTGCTATGTACATGTAAGGATTTATCCATTTTCTACTTTTTTCTTCCCATAAAAATTAGAATTGTGCTATCAAAACTGCCTGTGAATATGCTTTTTAAATTTAAGAACAGACCCCTGACTTATTTCTAAGGTATTCCATGTAGATCCCCCTTATTCATTTCATTGGTTGTGTAGCCTTCTGCTGTATGAATGCACCGTGATTTATTTAACTGAGGACTGGATCTTACACAAAAACGAGATCCTGGAGCTGAGTTGAGGATGAGGAAATGGTGTCTTGAGTAGTGCTAGGCCAGAGGCTTACTTAGGATGTGCTGTTGTTGTGTCCCCTTTCTGAAGAGTGCCAATGTGGCTGGTTTCCTCCTCTGGTTCCTTTGCTTCCTTTTCTAGGGCAAAAGGTCAAGGGAGCAAGTAAAATTCTACCCAAAAGACCTTCTGTCTGGGTGTTTTCCAAAGTATCCCTTCTTTGGCAGTGGGGCTAGTTCAGTTTCCAGAAAGACAGAAGAGGAAACAAGAAGGGAGTGGATGGAAATACTTGGTCCGCAGCCGGTCCTCCTGTCCACCTGTCTTTATCCTCATGGTGTGTGGCTTATAGCCCTGGAGTCCTTTCTGACTCCGGGCTCAATCCCCAAATTTTAATTACAATCACCACTTTCTTACTCATACTTTAGTTTGTTAAATGGAGTTGGCCTGTGTGATTTTTTTTTTTCTTGAAAAGTGAGAGAGGGAGGTATTTGATGAGTGTGGTGTGGTTTGTAGGGGAAGACAAGTTGTGAGTCGATCACTGGAAGGGGAAAGAGATGGGCTGGGGAAGGCCACATGCCCCTGCCATTGTCTGCAGGCTGTGCCCAGGCTGATGCGATGAAGAGTGGCAGCCCTGGCAGGGAGCCCTTCTGCTGCAGGCACCAGGAGGTGCAGTACTCACGGGCAGCGTTTCTATTTTTAATGTAATTTGGAGGAGCTGGGTTTTAGTTCAGGCCCTGCCCTTCCTCACCCATCCAGATGGCAGAGTTGGCCGCAGCTGCTGGGGCTTAGGCTGCCAGTGGAGAGGTGTGGGGGGCTGTGGGCACAGGGCTGGAGACCCCACTGGGGAAGACGGAGTGTGCTGTCTCCTGCCCCACCTCTCCTGTTGACCCCGTGTCCCAGAACAGACGGGGCTCCTGTCGGTGTGACAGAAGGAGCGCAGGTCCTAGAATGGGGACTGGCACGGGTAAAGCCTTTTCTTCCTTTCTTTCCTTTCTTTCTTTTTTATCTTAGGCTGAGGGAGAGGGAGAGGAATGTGGGAAGAGGAGCTAACATTTATGGCATGCCTTCATTGGGCCAGGAGTCGGGTTTTACGTACATGATCTAATTTCATCCTCACTGGAAGCCCTGTGAGCTGTGGTTTACTATCCCGTTTTACAGTGAAGGAGACAGACTTCCCAGGTAGGAAGTGCTTGAATAAAGGGTTGACCCCAGGTGGACTACACTACCATGACCCTGTGGAAAATATTTGAAATTATCAAGAATAGTCTTTTTTTTTTTTTAAACCAGCTTGCTAAATTTGCCTAGATACTCAAGCTTAAAAATGAGATATTTTTCTTTTTTTAATGGAAGATGTAATTTCTGACTGGGAAGGGTGCGTCATTGTCTATTGGCAGGACCTGAGTCCTCAGGGGAACCTGGCATGTAGCAAAGGAACACTTTATCTTCTGCGGTCCAGCTGCGGGTTGGTACCCTTTTTGTCTGGGGCATAGCTCTTTCCTGTTGCACCAAGACTCCATCTCTCCAGGATTCTTCTTTTCTAAGGTGTTTGCCTGCTGCCCCTGTACTGCCCACTTAATTTCAGCATGCCTGTGTATCACTGGCACTGCTAATCTGGGCCTCTGTGGATTTGGGGTGTTCATGGATTTCTCTGCTTTCTCTGCAGCTGACAGTACAGGCTCCCAGCAGCAGGAGGCAGGGTTTTCTTTGTCTTGTGCGTTCTCCTTCAGCCTCTGGCTTCCGACTCTGCATACAGTGGCTGTGGTCATCTGTCTCATCCTCCCCAGGCCAGCCAGGCCAACCTAGGGAGCAGCTGTGAGCCTGGGGGCGTAGCCAAAGCTCGAGAGCCTTCATTGTACAGTAGACAGGCCTTCTGTTCTGTGTCCTGTGTGGTCCCATCCTCTAGAGAGCCACCTCTCAGTGCTTTTTCCTAAGCATGAGCATCAGCAAGAGGGTGGAGGGACCCAAATTCAGACCCCTCCAAAACACATGTTTCACTGTTTCTTGCCTATAGGCCCAGGAGGTAGGAAGGAAAGACAAGGATGATAGCCAGTCCAGCCAGGATGAGCTGCAGAGCAAGCAGTCCAAAGGCCTGGAGAGGTACAGTATGTGGGAGGCTGACCTCAGGGAGGTCATAGTGTGCCTTCAGGATGGTGTGGACTTGGACAGAATTCCTGGCTTTGGTGGTTGGCATGGCTCACTGTGCAGGTGATGAGCTGGCTGGATGGTCTTGCAAGGTCTGTGTGCATGTGCATGTGTGTATGTGTGTATGCTCGTACACATTGTATGTGTGTGTGTGTATATGTATGTATGCATGCATGAGTAGATATTCTGATTCTGCACCAAGATGGGAATGGGTGTACGCTGTGCACTGCTGTGAGTCAGAGCTTGGTCCTCCTTGCTGGATTGGGTTGATTAAGCTGTGTGTGCGCTCAGTCCCAGGTCAGGGCTGAAGTAGCCTCTGGAGGTCTAGGGGAGTCATGCTGGAGGGTTGGTACTGCAGCTCAGCCCTGAGCCAGGGCTCTGCCGCATCAGAAATGGCTGTGCTAACTCTCTGTGTGTCTGTGTGACAGGGGCTCCCGGTTTCTCAGGCCTGAGCCCATGATAAGGGAGGAAGGAGAGCAGTCTTTCCATTTTGGGACCAGAAAAAGCTCTCTGACAGCTTCATGCATTTTCTATAGTCTGACCACCTGTATCTGGCTTCTTTTTCTCCCCATTTTCCACTCAGTTCTCCCATCCCTTGCTGGCCCCGGTGATGGTGGACTTTGGGAATGAGTACACTTATGAGTGTGTCCAGCTCTTTCTTCTGGACCAAGCAAATACAGTACAGGGACCTGGGGAGCCTGACTCAAATCCAGGCAAAAGGAGAGCTTAGGAGAGAGTCTCTCTTCCTACATATTGGCCTTCGCTCTTGTGGCTATTCATGGGAGTGGGGACAGGGGCTGGGATCTAGCCTGGGAGGAGGGATTGACCTGGGTCCACACTGCACTCCCCAGTTCTCTTCCTGCCCTCCAAATGGAGGGGCTTGACTCTGCGGCTCCGGCTGGCCTGACCAGGTTGTCTCCTCCACTTCTGCACGGGGAGCAGCTCCAAAGTCCGCTTCACAGCCAGTCCTCCGAAGAAGGGCCTCCGCAGTCCCCTGAGGGGCAGCCTGAATGGAAGGAGGCAGAGGAGCGCGGGGAGCACTCTGTGGCCAGCCCCAGCCCACCAGTTTGCCTCCAGAGGTAAGGATGAGGGGGAAGCACCCTGGGTGGTGATGGCTCCTCTGTGTGTAGTGCGTGTACACTAGTGCTGAGAGAGCAGGGGTGGGTAGGTCTAGAGAGGGAGGGGAGAGCTGGGGCCGGTTTGCAGCCTAAGTAGCAACAGCAGCAGAGGTTCTGCTTAGTGTCCCATGGGAGCTGGGGACTGCGGAAATCTGCTTCTTCCTAGTCCTCAGTCTACAACTGAGATTGGGGTACACAGTCTGATTAGGAGAACTTAGAAACTATTGAACAAGAAAGTATCTCTTCCGACCCAGCTGCCTCCCTGCCATGGACTAGGACAAAGACTGCTGTCACCCTAGCTGCTCCATTCCTGCTAGGGGAGCTGTTTCTCCTGGTCCCCTCCCCACCAGCACCTTCCCTTCAGTAGTCACCTCACTTTTAGTCATTCAGCAAACCCAGCCAGACTCCTGTTGTGTGCTAGGCCCAGGCAGAGGGAGGTGCAGAGCCCCAGGTCACCCCCAGGCCAGCTGAGAGGACTTTTGCATCCCAGCCTGGTCCATAGCACAGTGTATGTTTGCTAGTTCTCTGTCCCCCTAGCAAAAGAAAGATGCTGGTCTTAGAATTTATCAGGTTGGAACGAGTCACGGGGAACCCAAGTAGCAGCAATGTTCAGTCAGCAGCATCCCTTGAACACGTGCTGGGTGCAGAGCTTCTCCTTGGGTGCTGTGGTGGTCCTGCTTCCCACGTGGGGTGGGAGTCTCTGGTCTTCAATACAAACAACTCGGGGAGAGGCAGGGAGGGGAGATGGAAGTTTGAGACCTGAGGTAGGGAAACTTTGTTGGGGCTATTTCTCTTGTCCCCGTTATAGCTCTTTGCCCCTAAATGGAGGGTGTCCTGAGCATCTCACCTTCCGACTGGCTTTAACACAATTGCCATCAAGGGAGCAGGCCCCAAGCCCACCTGCCACCCATGAGAGGGGCAAGGAGCAGCGTTCCCAGGCTGAGGAGCTGAGTCCTGGGCAGGAAGAGGCAGAGGAGCTTGAGGAGAAGGTGGCAGTCAGCGCCACCCTGCCAGTCTCTCCAGAGGTGTAAGGGCCAGTTTTATGTGTCTGCCCCTGTGCCCCACTGTGTGTGGATTACTGAAGTGCCCATTCATTCTTGGGTGGTGGGGAGGGGGAGCTCTGGCTTCAGCCCAGGATGGGGAGTGTAAGGGGAGATTGAACATATGCTTGGTGCCCCGTGTGTAGCCTCCAGAGCCCCATGCAGCTGTCACCAGTCCCCACCTGGGGTTAGCTTAGGGCCCTGGGGCTCCTGGTGAGGACTTGGGGTACGAGGGTGGACGAAGAGGTGCCTCCTGGCTCATTAGCAGAAACCTACTAGGTCATGTTACCTCTTCTACCAAGCACTGTTTTTCTCTTAAAAATTTTTTTGTTGAGATATTTATACTGAAGGACACAAATCTGAAGTGTACAATTCGATGATGTTTGCGTCTGTGCACACCATGTAACTACCACTCAGATCAGATGTAGGCCGCTTCTATCCCTTGAGAAAGTTTCCTCATGCCCCACTTGGTCCACCGACGACCCCAGGTCTCCATGGTTCTGTTCTGGCTTCTATCCTATAGAGTGATTTTTCTAGTTCTCCACTTTCATATACATGGAATTATGCAGTATGTAGGATATATCTTTTGTCCCTGGGTTCAAAGTTCCACATGTTTTTGTGATTCACCTGTGTTGCTGCACCAAACACTTCTAACATTTAGAAATCATTTAGCTTTTCTCCTCCCATTCTCACCCTTCCCTCCTTATGCCTTTTTCAGATGAGGAACCTGAGGCTCAGAGAGCTGAAGGGATTTTCTCAAGTTCACATTGCTGGTCAGTTGCAGAATTAGGACCAGAGTCTAGTCACTAGAGCCCTAGACTCCTGACGTTTAGTCTGCAGCCGCTGTTCCTTTTCTCTGCAGAGAGAAAGACAGGTTCCGGGATTTATACATTTTTCCTCTGTGAGCTGAGCAGGTACACAGGACTGACGGCTGAGCAGAGAGAGGTTCATGCACTGATTACTCACAGGAAATGTCACTGAGAGCTGGCAGGGCACGTGAGCTCATGATCTCATGTCGTCACTACACCATTGCAGGAACGATGTGGGGAGGAGGTGGCCACGTTTTTCGGATAGTGATAGATCCTGCAATGAAAGCTGTGACGCTGAGGAACTGTGCAGCTTTGCCAAGGCTCCTTGATGGCTGTGGACAGCCAGATGAGCGTGCTTTCTATGACGACAGGAGACAAGTGTGGTCCAGAGAGAGGAAGAGCGGGGCAGAGGTCAGACAGGTGTCTTCCCAGGACTCCGGAGGGAAGCCCAGGCAGCCTAGGTTCCCCGGCTCCTCCCAGCCGCCTTGGCTGATTAATCCCCATACTTTGTGTTTCTCACCCCATCCCAGTGAGGCTGTCCCTGCTGGGGTCTCAGAGACACTTTACTTGACTATGTAGTTTCAATTTCCTTAAGGAAATGCCTTCTGTTCCTTTCCTGAATCTTTTCAGGCCCTATAACTTCCTTGTTATTACTCTTTATAGCTGTAATGTCTTAGGAATAGATTGGTTTTCTGGGTTTTGTGGGAGTAGTTCTGTGTCTGTCAGCTTCCAAAGGTGTAGTCAAGCTGCAAGGCAGGGCTGGGAGCGGAGGGCAGGCCAGAGGGAGCAGGTGGGCGGGGCTGGCCCGCAGCGCCTGCTGCTCACTAGGGCTGCTTTGTGGCCACTAGGCGGGGACTGGAAAACAGGAATATCCTCCCCTTTGTCATCCCAGCATCTTTCATGAGGATTTGTGGAGAGGAGGGTAAATGAATCAAAGCCACGAGGTTGAATATGAGATGAGTTGTGATCTCTTTGATTCCTGTCCCAGCCTTAGTGGTAGTACAGCCTTTTCAGAATGTTCCTGGGGTGCCATTTCTCCCTCTCCGTCCTCCCCTTCCTCCCTCCCTCCTTCCCTGCTTTCTTTCACGTGTCACCACGCTACTTGGTGGCTAGCCTGAAATGATTATGCTCCTACAGAGCCTCCCCTTTGTCACTCACTGTTGGAAACTGGGTCTCACTGATTCTGATACTTGAGGAGTTGGCCTAGAAATCAGAGCTGCCTCTTCCTCTGGAGTCCTCAATTTCCCCACTGTCTCATGGATCTTTCAGGCATTGTTTGTTGTCTTGGACCTAAGCTAGGAGTTTAGGATACTATTATAGATCTTTAAAACTGGGTGAGGGAGAGAGGCCCACTGAAAAACAGCCCTGCTTGCCTGCGTGCCGAGTGTGCAAGCAAGCGCTCCGGCACGTGTAGCCCGGGCACATGCCGCCACACGGTCTGATGCCCCGTCTTTCCACATCATCTATCCCTAGGGCTCCACATAGCTATGCAGCCCACAGGAGAGAGAGACATTAGAAGGTACCATCTCAGGGAAAAAAGATGTTCTCAGCCAACGTTGGAAATGAGTTGGAGGGTTGATGAGGCGGAGAGCTGCCGGGGAAGGCTCTTTGCGAGGGCAGCATTCTCAGAGGATGCTCAGCCGTGTCTCTCACACCTGCGCCAGGGGACTGAGAGGAAGCCACGATTTGGAAGGAGGGAGTAGATGGAGGTGGGAGCAGGAAAGAATTGAAGGCATAGCTCAAGCCTTTCTGGTCTGAGTTACAATTTTAGGAAAGGTCTTAACGGTAGCTCAGAGTGGTCAGTAGTCTCTTCTGTTTTCCTTCTGTCTCTCGTCTCAAGGGGCTGCAGTGGGATTCCGAAGTCCTTGTTTTTCTCTTTAATCTGATCCTTCCCGCTGCCTTCCATCTGCTGTATGTTCGAGCTGGAGGGAGAAGGGGTTCTGAGTCCCCAGTTGGGAGGACTGGCTTCCCTGTTTGACTCTCGCCCAGCCCTCTTTGATTTGGGTCATGCACACTTTCCCGCTGAGGTCGACCGAGCAACCGTGCCAGGCCTGCAACAGGCGATGGCTGTGGTGAGACCAATTGTCAATGTGAGATTGAGGGACCCGAAATGCAGACACATACTGACCTTTAGGAAAATCACTCTGGGAGTCAAAATGCTTTATCCTGCTTATGCTTTCATTGCTCAAAATGTTCTCAGGGTCTCTCTTCGGGTATTTCCTTCAAGAAACAGAAAACAATCAAAATAACAGTTCTTATTACGTTATAGACATCTTTTTAACCAATACCATTATTCCTTGTCTTAACCTGTGCATCCAGGTTAGTTCTAAATTTCTTTTCCTCATTTTCAAGCAGCGAATTAACTCTAACAGATGAAAATGTGCCCCCATGGAGAGATAGGGAACACAACACTCCTGTTTATTCTTGCTACATTCTTTGGCTTAGGGAAGCATCTCCTCCTGGCTCCCTTGGAGTATGGGAGAAGAGTTTCCTATTCCTAGACCTCATTGGCTGTTGCAGTCTTAGGGCTAGGAGACATGCTGCTGCTTTTCCTGTGGGCTTTGCTCAGTTTGGGAGGTGGAGAGCAGTCTGTGGGGGACTGTTTCAAAATTGCTGGCATGAGTCTCAAGTAGCAAGCAGAGCCCTTGTGGGAAGATAGTAACAGGGCCATGAGCCATTCTGAGGAAGTTTTCATTAGGGACAGGGCTTCACTCTCTCCCTGCTGCTGCCAGCTCTTGCCAGTTTCAGATTTTGATCTTGGGCCAGAACCTGCCAGGTCTACTGAGAGTCTGCTATCAGCCACTCTTCTCCCTAGGCTCTTCGGGCTTTAGACAGCCACAGTGGGACTTGTCCTGTAGAACAAATGACGACTGTATCTTATAGCCTGCCTGTGGGTGACCTGATCTGCAAATGTGTCTCCTGATTGTGGGCCCTCCATTAGGATTCCATGTGCGTTGTTCTGAACCCATGTGAACCTTAATGCCAAAAGGTAGATGGATATTAAAACTGTAATGGTAATGCTGTTCCCTACCCATGGCAGGCGATCCACAGAGCCTGTGGCTCCCCCAAAGCAGCTCTCAGAGGCTGCCCTAAAGGCCATGAAAGAGGCAGTGGCCCAAGAACTCGAGCAAGAGCAGAGGCGGCTGCTGGAATCGAAGCGAGAGAAGATGCAGCAACTGCGAGAGAAGCTGTGGCAAGAGGAGGAAGAGGAGATCCTCCGGCTTCACCAGCAGAAAGAGAAGTCTCTCAGGTCCTGCCCTTCCCCTTAGGCACAATTTCTGGGCCTCGCAGGGATGTGGGGAGCGAGGGACACCCTCTTCCCACCCTGGAGACCACTGGGATGTCCATGGCTCCCCAAGACTACTCCTGGAAACTTTACCCAATAATTTCTGCTTATATCTCATTGGTTATCCTGGTTGCAAAGGAGACTGGGAAATGTAAGTCCTTCAGCTGTCCTTTTTACGTGGTAGAATAAAATCAGGGTTCTGTTAGTAAGGAAAAAAAGGAGAATGGATATAGAGATGGTAATGAGCAATCTGTCACAGTCCCAGGATGGGAAGATACTACAAAAAGGTGTTAATGTATTTCATTTACTTGGCAATTTAACTAAAGGCTAAATCTTGTCCTCTTGGAACATCCAAGGATGGTAGAGAATTATTATTTTTAGATCATACATAGCGAAGTGTATATAAAACATTTATGCTTAATTTAGAGAAAATAAAGCAGAAAACCAACACCCAAGTACCAGGAGGGTTGGGGGCGATCTCTCTCATTATCCCAACATAGGATCTGCTGACCTAGGTAGGCTCTGTCCCTATATCATGTCCTTCTGGGTCCTCTGCCAAGAAGCATCCCAAAGCACAGACCTCCCACAGCACCCTCCTCTTCCAGTCAACTGAAGACTGGGGCAGGTGCCCACCCAAACGGGATGTGACTCAGCAGTTCACTTGAGGATGCAGCCCCTTGGAGGAAATGCTGGTGGTGTCTCCCTGCCAGCCCGCCAGGCTCCTCCCCTCTTCCTGGCCACTCTGGGCTTGGCTCCGTGTGTTTTCCATTTCTCTCCCGAGCCCTCTGACTCTACTGGGGCCTTCGGAGAGCCATCTTAGCATGCCAAAAGTATGTGATTTAGGGCCTGAAACATGGTAGTTGCTCAATAAATGGTAGTACTTATTATTATTATTTTCAGTTCAAATCCATAGTTTCAGACAGTCTCATCTAAGTGATTTCTCTGTGGGTAGTGCCTTGCCTGGTTTTCTTCAAAGTATTTATAGTTCATCAAGAAAACCCTATTTCTGTTTATGCCCAAGCCTTTTTGAGGGGTAGGCCCTCCTTTTCTTTGCTGAGAAACTTCCACATGGTAGAAATTTCTGGAAGCCACAGCTGATCTTGTAACAAATACTTCTTGAATGAGAAGGTAGGCAGCCCCTTAGTTTCTTTAGCTGTAAAATGAAGAGATGGGACTTGACCTCTAAAGTCCTTGCCGGCTCTAACTATCTGTGTTACTATGTGTAAAATTTAACCATGGGACAAAGAGAAAGGGTTTCTGGGGAATCTAGAGGGAAGGATTTTTACTTAACTCAAATTTTCCATCGTAATAGAAGAGAGCAGTGTTGTCGATAACTTGAAATAGGAAACGATCCAAAATCCTTTTGGCTTTGGAATTTGCTGCAGAAGCTTTTGAAAGAAATTGTTTTCTGAATCATGTTTTTCTTAGTCTTGAGTTTCCTGAGTGCACAGCTCACATCCCTGGTCACGTGGGGCTACGTGAGGAGCTCCCTGAAAAGGGTGTGGTTTGTGTGAGCAGAGGGATGTCTGCTTTGGGTGAAATGGTCACTGGCGTTGACCTACAAATAAGATACCGTTCATGGATAATCAAGGCTTGCTTATAGTTTGGGGCTGGATGATGCTGTTCAAATTCAACACACATTTATTGAGCACCTACTTTATGTCAGCTACTGTGTTTGGCACCTGGGATATAACAGATTTTAAGATGAGATTTTTTTCTCTGAAGAAGCTCCGAGACGTGCAAGGAAAACAGATACAAAAGATTAAGTATGATGCCATAAGATGCATGGTACAGAGAGGCATGGGATAAGAAAGGTCCCCATACAAAGTGTATTGGGAACAGAAAGGTGAACTGATGAACTTGGAGGGAGTTAGAGAGACTTTCCACAGAGGAGAACGGCGGTGGTGAATGCTGCTGGGTGGTGAATGATGAATATGGGTTTGTCGGACAGGAAAGGGAATTCTTGGCAGAGGAGCTAGCAGGAACAAAGGCCAAGAGGCAAGGAAGAGTGTGGTGGGATTTAGGGATGGCGACTCAACTGATGTGCCTAGAACAGAGTCTGTAGGGTGGGGAGGGGAAGAAGGTGGGACCGGAGTGAGGTTGGGTAACCATATCTGTCCTTGAGTGAACGCCGTGCTATGGTCAACGTGTCGGCAAAGCGGAGCCTTTAGAAGAAATGCTGTACTCAGACCCAGTAGCCTGCAGTCTGCTTCCTGCGGCAAAGGGGAGTCCATGGCCCCCTGGTGACCCTGGGAAGTAGTATAGGGAGGCAGCCTGGATGCAGAGGCTGAAGTTAGACTTCTCTTTAAGATTTAGGAAGCTTCATAGACAGAATACAGGGCTGTTGCAGGCTGAGAGCCAGGGATTTTGGATAGAAGAGGGAAGACCTTTGTCATCCCTCCAACAAACTTGCCTTTCCTTTCCATCTAAGTTCCCTGAAGGAACAGCTGCAGAAAGCCACTGAAGAGGAGGAGGCCCGCATGAGAGAGGAGGAAAGCCAGAGGCTATCCCGGCTTCGAGCTCAGGTCCAGTCCAGCACAGAAACAGATGAGGACAGAATCAGGTGAGTGCACACTATGAGTTGCTCAGCCACATGAGGTGACCCCAGGGTGCACAGGGCCATCCCCATTCCATTCTGTCTGCCCAGGGCCGAGCAAGAGGCTTCCCTGCAGAGGCTGAGAGAAGAGTTAGAGACCCAACAGAAAGCCGAGAGGGCCAGCTTGGAACAGAAAAACAGGCAAATGCTGGCGCAGCTCAGGGAAGAAATGGAGGCATCAGAGAAGAGCGAGGAGGCTGCCCTGAACGCCATGAAGGAGAAGGCTCTGCAGCAGCTGAGGGAGCAGCTGGAAGGGGAGAGGAAAGAAGTGAGCAAGTCAAGTGGGGGCTCTCTGACGTGTTGCTGGGCTGCCTGGGGAGGGACCAAGTGCAGAGGAAGAGCAAGGGCAAGCCTCGGGGGCGCGCAGGCTGGGGAGCCAGTCGGAGTGTGGCTGTCAAGCACGGACAGGCGTGGGGGATGGTGAGCTGACCGTCTGGGCCCATCACTCCACGTGGACTTGACTCGGCTCAGGGCAGGCACTGCCTGGTCTCCATGGTAGGGTGGACGTGGCAGGTGTCTAGGGGTCCCTCCAGGGTTGGGCTGGACAGGCAGTGGCAGCTGAGTGTTGCTAATGGTGGGGAGCCATCAGAGGCTTGAGGGAAAATGTCCTGTAGATTTGGGAAGGTTTCATGGCGGAACAAACTTCAGCCAGACCAGAGGTGCCATGTCCCTGTCTCTGAGGGTTAGCTACAGTGACTTCACTTCCCCCTTTCTTTCCTGTCTTAGAGTGAGAGGCTAGCAACTCAGAAGGGTTTTTCTCCTTTGTCCTTACTCCCTCTCCCTCCATCCAGATGGTCTGCCTACAGGTTAGACGCTGCAATGATCGTTAGGATGTTCTTTTTCTTTTGGTGAGGAATGGAGCTTTAGCTGTAAGGGGAAAACTGCAGCAAGATGGAGGGGACTTCATTATACTGCAAGTGCTCAGAGAGATTGTGCTAAAAACCTCCAGCCCTCCATGGCTGCCATCTTATTTATACTGTGAGCACCACCTGTGGACCTGTGGCCGAGCCCAGAGGCAGGGGGATGGAAGCGGTCCGCTGAGACTTACTGAAATGCCCCTACTCCAGCCTTTGTGTTCCTGTTCATATACCGGTTGTAGACTTTAGGGACTGAGTTATTTCAGAGGAACAGAGATGTGCCACTCTTCCCCTTGGGGGTGGTCTTCTTGACTCTGCCTTCCTCCATGGTCAGTACCAGGCTGGCTGTTGCCACCCCGTTTTCCTCACAGGCCCTTTGCTCCTCCCCAGGCAGTGGCAAGGCTGGAGAAGGAGCACAGTGCTGAGCTGGAGTGGCTCCGCTCCTCAATGGAGGCGAAGCACCGGGAGGTGAGATGTGGCCGGCCCTGGCCTCAGAGGGCAGAGCCTGGGCAGCTTGGGCCCTGAGCGTGAGCCCCAGGACCCCCTTCATGGCTGGTCAGCAGAAGAGCTCAGCCCATCTAGGGAGCGAGCCTCCCTTTTCCTCCAGGTCTCTGGGAATGGATGCTGGGTCCTAGGAATGTGTCCCCCAACAGCAGCTCTGCAGTCTCTCTGAGGGTCACACTCCCCTGTGTGTTCTGGGGCCTCCTCAGGTGGTCTCCAGCCTCCAGAAGAAGATAGAGGAAGCTCAACATAAAGACGAAGCTCAGCTGCAGGAGAGCCTTGGGCGGGCAGAGCAGAGAGCTTTCCAGAAGGTTCACCAAGTGATTGAGTATGAGCAAGAGGTGAGTACTGGCTGTGTCTTCAATATTTGTATGCACCTGTCGTGGACTCTCTTACGGTCTGCTGAGCCATTGTGGCCTAAGTGTCCTCCAGTTTGGGCTTAGTACTTCTGGTTCCATTTTTATGCTTTAGTTCCCTTGAAGCCAGGTACTTCCGCATCCCCATGCCCCTCTATGCATATGGGGAATGGGTGTTGGAGGTATGGCCATGTGTATGCCGTGGTGCCGTATGTGTGTGATGATTGTGTGTGTTGTGTATGTGCGGGGGAGGTTGGGGAGGTGTGTAGAAACCCTCAGGTATACCAGGCCCCGAGTGCTCGTCTGCCCTCAGTCCCTGCCATCTGCCTTGCAGCTCAGCAGTCTCCTGCGAGAGAAGCGCCAAGAAATAGAAAGGGAGCACGAGAGGAAGTTGGATAAGATGAAGGAGGAGCACCAGCAAGTGATGGCTGAGGCCAGAGAGCAGTATGAAGCTGAGGTAGCTTGGTCACATCCCCTGTACGTGTGTACACACACACGCACACACACGCTCTCTATCTCTCTCTCTCTCTCTCTCTCTCTCTCTCTCTCTCTCTCTCTCAGGCTTTCCTCTCTGGTATCTTGCAATTATGAAGTTGTTTTTTACCTTGTTTTTTACCTTTTCACTAAAGCATGAGAAAAACCTCCACCTAATGGGGGTAATTCCTCTCTGTTGGGCAGGCTACACTTTCTTCTAATGGTAATAATAGCCAATAGCCAATATCCAATAGCCTCTGTTGGGCTTGTACTGTGTGCCCGGCACTGTTCTAAGCTCTTTATATATGTTAACCCATCTATTCGTCATAATAGCTGTAGGAAGTTCGTACTATCATTATGTCCATTTTAAAGATGAGGGCACTGCGACTTGGAGAGTTTAAGTAACTTTCCCAAGACAACACCCAGCTAATAAGTATAGGAGCTAGGATTCGAGCCCAGGCTGTCTGACTCCAGAGCGTTCAGTTTCATCACTCCAACACCATGCCACGAGGGTTCATCGAAATTTCAGGACACCATGAAATAGACTGGCAGGAGCCAAATAATATTTAGGTAATATTTGCCCATGTGCAGCCTTTGGCCTTAAGGTGGGAAAGTTCAATTACTTGAGTGGCCCCAAGCTGGCTTGGCTTGCTCACGCTGGGGGTGAACAGTGGGTGGGTGGGGGGTGGCTGACTTTAGCACACAGCTGGGCCTCCGTGGGGCATTTCTAGGCTACTGCTTTTGTAGCTGGAACCAGTATTCCAGACTCTTTCTGTAATCTTTTCCACACAGACATAGTGGTCCTGTGATGAAGTTTAGCTGAATCCCATCCCACACTAATTATGACCTTGCTGAAGAATAGGGATAGTTTATCAGTGACCTCTCTTCCCTTAAGGAGGAAGAGTTAGACATGGTAGAGCACTAGGAGACCCAGAGGGGGTTCCTCATGGCATCTGGCCAGCATCTGCTTCAGCTGCAGAGGCGGGTGCAGGCTTGTGGGGGCTGGGACAGTGCTGGCCTTGCAGCTCTCTTTCTCATCTATAAGAGCTGGCCTTAGGGAGCTCATGATGTCCCTGAGCTTATTGACCTGGGGATGGGGGTGGGGGACCATGATGTTTGGGGTGGGAGGGCTCACTGCAGTTTCCCACCGGTGGGCCCACCCTCCTTCAGGAGAGGAAGCAGAGGGCTGACCTCCTGGGGCACCTGACCGGGGAGCTAGAGCGCCTCCGGAGGGCCCATGAGCGAGAGTTGGAGACGGCGAGGCAGGAGCAGGACAAGCAGCTGGAGGACTTGCGGCGCCGACACCGGGAGCAGGTGAGGGGTCTGGGGTGGGATGAGCCCACCATGACATCTCCGTGCAGGGTAGGAAGGTGTTAGGTGCAGACGCCATGGTTGTGGCAGAATGGAGCCCAGCAGCTTCCAGAGTGGGGGTCTCACTGGCCATCTCCAAGCTGGGGCATCTCCGCTGTTTTGTTTTCTGGGCCAGGGAACACCCTCAGCATTATTAGAAGGGGAGGTTAGCCCTGGTAAGGCTTTGAGGTCGGTGCCTTCACTTCTCCTTGCCCCCACTGGAAATACACAAGGTGTGGTGCTTTCCTGGGAGGCTGCAAGGGCACACTGGGAGGAAGCCTGAGCCCAGAGTGGACGTTGTGGTTTGCTGTGGTGGGTTGTGGGTTCTGGAACTTGCCCTGCCCCTCAGCTGATGCCTTATACTCTTTCTACGCTTATGTCTTTCTCTCCACCCACTCCTCTGGGCAGGAAAGGAAGCTCCAAGATTTAGAGATGGAACTGGAAATCAGAACTAAAGATATCAAGGCCAGGTTGGCTCAGCTGGATGTTCAGGTGAGGATCTGTAGGGGCCCTGAACTTAGAGTCATAGCTCCTCTAGGAGGAGGCAGGCCTTGACCCTCAGACGGCGGTCTGTAGTCAGCCAACATGCGCTATGTCTTCCCCTCCAGGAGGAGACGGCCCGGAAGGAGAAGGAGCAGCTGCTTGATGTGCAGAGGCAGGTTGCTCTGGAGAGTGAGGTTTGTCTGCGGCTTTTGTCCTCCATCCCCTTCCTTTCCACCCCTCCCTACACCGTTTTTGTTCACCTGATCTGTCCAGGGCCCTGAGGTTCCAAACTCTGTTGGCTAATATTCCACAAATAGCTTCATTCTGTGGACCCCCACTTGGGAACCTCGAGGAAGTGGGGCTGTGGTGGGACAGGAGCCTGCAGACCTCCTCACCTCAGAGACAATGACTTCAGTGGCTCTGAGACAGCCCCCAGCTTGTCCTCCTCAGGCTTCTCTGCCCTCTAGTGCCGCCTGCTCCCTGACTTCTCCCCACTGTGTCTCTGGGTGCTTCAGTCTTTCCATCTGCCCCCAGGAAGCCACAGCCACCCATCAGCACCTGCAGGAGGCAAAGCAGGAATACAGCCACCTGTTGGAGTCAAACCGGCAGCTCCGAAGAATTCTTGACAAACTTCGGTCCCGCAAGTTGGAGTTGGAGTCCCAAGTGGATCTGCTGCAGACTCAGAGCCAGAGATTGCAGAAACGCATCAGGTGGGGTGTACTTAGTCACCCTGGCTGCCTCCTGCCTGTCCTCTGACCTCGGCTGCTTATGGGCCCTGTCTAATCATGGCCCAGTTCATGGAGAGAGGTAGCAGAGGCCAGGAACAAGAGCCTCTGGCTGCTGCATTTTGTAGGGTGTGATAAGAGGCTATGAAAAGCAGGGGATCCCTGGTTCTACTATTTGTGCCTCAGCCCCACCTCTGGGACCGTGACTGGAGTGAGGGGATGGAGATGTCCCGACAGGGCGCTGCCTGGCCTGCTTCATCACAAGACTGACTCACACTCCAGTGCCCACTCACCTTTCCATCCACAGCAGCCTGGAGGCAGAAGCACAGAGGAAGCAAGACCTGTTGGAAGAGCTGAGAGTTGAGGAGAGTAATGCTTCTGCACATTTTGAGCCGGAACTGCACATTGAGGACCTCAGGAAATCCCTTGGGACAGTGAGCTGGGGGCTGGAGACGGGGTGGCGCATGAGTGGGTAGGACATGAGGAGGGCCTGGCTCTGTTCTCTGTAGGACCTGGCCTCCTGTTCTCATTCCCACCTCCCACTGTCTCCACCAGTCCAATGGTATCTATAGGAAACCATGCCTGGCAGCTGGCAGGGCTATTTCCTTGTCTTGGCCACTGGGAGGGCTTTGGGGTCTCTTGAGCCTGCAGGTGTCTGCTTTTGCTGCACGCAATGGGTCTATTCTACTGTGTATCCCTAGAACCAGACCAAAGAGGTGTCCTCTTCTCTCTCCCAGGACAAGGAGGACCTGTCCTTGGACAAGTGAGTTCCCATGGCCTGTCTTATTTCGGGTTGGGGGTACCGTGAAGGGGTGAGAGAGTGCCGGCGTCACAGAGCTGCGGTAAGCTGAAGTGAGCTGACAGCGATCACCAGTGGGGCTTGGTTCAGCAGGAAGGCCCCAGGGGACTGAGGGATCTTCTCTGGCAAGTTAAGAAACTGCCCACTGTGACCTTTGACACAGCATTCTGGCATCTGCTGACCTCCGGTTGAGGATCAGACTGCTGGGAGTGTTTGGTCATCTGTTCAGAGGCCCTAGGCGTAATCCCTGTCAGAGTCAGGGTAGGGGCACTGCTAGTCCTATGTGCTGCGTGCTGTAGGCATTTAACAGTGGCACCTCAGCACACTGCCCAGCCCCAGCAGCTCCTGTCTCTACTCAGGGTGGGCATCAGCTGGGAAATTGGCTGTGTGAGCCAGAGCAGGTTCTTAGAGTCTTCTGTTTTCCTTCCAATTCCCCTGCCCTGGCCCATCCCCCCAGTGTCCGGCACTACCTCTCTGCCGAGGGGGTAGCCCTCCGTAATGCCAAGGAGTTCCTGGTGCAGCAGACACGCTCCATGCGGAGGCGGCAGACAGCTCTGAAAGCTGCCCAGCAGCACTGGCGCCATGAGCTGGCCAGCGCTCAGGAGGCAGCCGAAGACCCGACAGGCACCAAGGCCCTGGGAGATGTGCGCAGGAACCTGGAGGAGGTCAGGGGCCTTGAGGAGAGCCTGCCAGCCTTGTGCCAGGGGGTGTCCTGGTGGAGCCAGTGGAACACTCACTTTTGGGCCCTCCCTCAGTTGATTATTCTGGGAACTCCATGAGAGTGGCCGCCTGGGCCCTGGGCTCACTTACATTTACACAGCAATGCATAGCGTGCGGACAGCCTTCTGTAATAGTAAATCATTGTGTCCTCACCATGACCACATGTAATGTGCAAGATAATATTATTATTCCCATTTTCTAGGTGAAGAGTACAACTAAGGTTTTAAAACTTTCAAATGTAGTGCTTTGCTTTTTTTCATTCCGTCACACTAGAGACTTCATTTATAGACGAAAATCTTTTTTTTTTTTTGAGATAGAGTCTTGCTCTGTTGCCCGGACTAGAGTGCCATGGTGTCAACCTAGCTCACAGCAACCTCAAACTCCTGGGCTCAAGTGATCCTCCTGCCTCAGCCTCCCGAGTAGCTGGGACTATGCCCAGCTAATTTTTTCTATATATTTTTAGTTGTCCAGCTAATTTCTTTCTATTTTTAGTAGAGACGGGGTCTCGCTCTTGCTCAGGCTGATCTCGAACTCCTGACCTCAAACGATCCTCCCGCCTCGGCCTCCCAGAGTGCTAGGACTACAGGCGTGAGCCACCGCGCGCGGCCTATACACAAAAATCTTTTAAACACACTCAGCATAAGTCTCTGAGTTACTTCTCTGATAGCCTAATTTGCATTGAAAAGGCAGAGATGTTATTGTTAGTTGGGATTACAGATCCTTGTACTACTATAGGGTCCTGGCAGAGTGGGCTCTCTTAGATCATGCCTGGGCCCTGAGAATTCTGATGATGATGATGGTAATGACAGCTGAAGCAGTGATGATAATAACCATTTGGTTAACAGTAACCATCTGAGACTTTATCAGGTGTGGGCATGGTGTTACACATGTAACATGCTCATTTGAACCTCACAACCCTATAAAAGTCGTTATTTCTCTTTTCCAGGTGAGAAACCAGACTGAGACTTAAGTAATTTGTTTAAGATCACCCAGCCAGCAAATGGTAGAGTTGGGACTCCAACGTCAGTGCAGTCACTTACTTCTCCTCCCCTTTCTCCCTGGCTGCAGGAGACCAGGCACCTGGATGAGATGAAGTCAGCTATGCGGAAAGGCCATGACCTGCTGAAGAAGAAAGAGGAGAAGCTAAATCAGCTGGAGTCCTCTCTTCGGGAAGAGGTGCAGCCCTGTGGCCACGTGGCCCAGTGTGGTCCTGGCCTCCCTCTTCTGTTCCTGGGGTTGGGTTGGGTTCTTTGGTCCTCTGTCAGGGGAGCTGGGCCTCAAGGGTCCAGGACTGGGCAGTAGGCTTCAGGCTCCTGGCTGGTGAAAAGAGCAGTGGCTTTAGCTCTGAGTTTGTTGAAGTCACCTGTGGGTTTGGATGTCTGTGCTGAATGGTCCTGAGTACACCTGGAACCTCTTACTGGAGAGTCCTGAGAAGGGGGCCTAGCCCCTGCTATTACCCTGCCAGTGTAGCTAAAGAGAAGCCTGACCGGGGTGTCAGGAATGGACGCACATGACAGACAGGTTCTCCTACCTGCCCTGGGACCGTGTGGACTTTTCCCTGGATGCCTGAGACTTAGATGTGGCAGGAGGGAGGCTTAGGTGGAGAGGCGCTGCAGGGAGAGTTTACGGGGAGGGTAGGGTGGGGATCTGTGTGGTCCTGGTGGCCCTGATGCCTGTATCTCAGGTACTTGGGTTCTCTTAGCCTCGCCTCCCTCCCACCCCACTGTGAGACAGCCTGTGTGGTGTGCCTCCCCCAGGGTGCCTGGTGGAACTGGGCCCCAGAAGAGCCTACTCACTGAGTCCTCAGTCCCCACACATCACAAGGGCAACAGCCTGCAGTCTTGGATATGTAGCAGCATAATTGCTAGGAGAGCAAACTGAGATGGCCGTATTTCATGGATTTGCGTAAGAAAGCCAACTTAAAGACAAAACACAAAAGAACCCAGCTCAGCATCCTAGCCACTTGCTAGAGAGGAAGGAGGTAAGGTAGGAAGACACCAGAAGGGTCAGTAATGGCTGCTGCTTCTACTCATCAGGACTTAGGTGAGGACACTCTGAAAGGAAGCCCCGCCAAGAAGGTGACCTTCGACCTCAGCGACTTGGACGACACGAGCAGTGAAAGTTCTGATTCTTGCTCCTCTCCTCACAGTGAGTGGTGGTGGCAGCGGGGAAGCGATGGGGGAGATGCAGGGGTGAAGACCTCCCTATCCATGGATAGGGAGGAATTTGGGGAACAGAGGGACGGCCCTGTTCCTTCAGCCCTGCAGAGGGAGGTCTCTGTGAGCCAGTGTCTATACTGGGTACTCAGTAAATGCTAGGAAGGAGTGAAGCCATCTGGGTTTGCCAACACACAGGGCTGAAAGGGTCGGGAGGGCCTCCTGAATGCTGCGGAGCACTTTATGGTTTGTGAGCTGTCCCTGCCAGCCTCTTCTCTTCCAGGGCCTCCCTGGGGGACGCTGTTCTCCTTCTGCTGCTCTGGCCTGTGTGCGGGCAGAGGGCCCTCTTGCCTTCCTTTTCTCCAGGGTCCTGGGCCCTTCCCCAGGGCCTTGCCCCGGAAACCTCTTTCTCATGGCCAGCTTCTCATCTGTCCTGTCTGGAACACAGAAGCCCTGCTGTCCCCCAACCTCCTCATAAGCCAAGGGGCTGCTGTCCCAGCTGTCTGAAGGAACAGGGAGGGGCCGCCAGCAGGGTGCTACAGTGCTAACTGGGTCTGGGGTCATTCTAGGCCTGGCCCTGAGTCCTTCCCCACCATCTACCTCTTCCCTTTCAGTCAACTTCTTCCCAAGTCCCATCGTCCCTGACAAGATCCACGACTTGAGCAGCTCCCTGCAGCGGATCAGCGGCCAGCTGAATGCTGTCCTGGGTCTCCTGGGCAGCCTCAACGCTCAGCCACCACCGCTATTCACGTCCACGCCAGCGCATGGCTCCCTCCGGCCCTCCAAGAGCATCCCTGCTCCCACCTACTGTCCCTCCCTGGCCAGGGCCTCGGCCTCATCCCCTGTGGCACCCATGTCCACCCAGTGGGCCTGGGACCCGGGGCTGGGCCCCAGGCTTTCCTCCTCCATACCTCAGACAGTGGACGACTTCCTGCTGGAGAAGTGGCGCAAGTATTTTCCGTGTAAGTCTTGCTCTGGGCCGGTGTTTGCATCTGGGCTGAGCCTTCTTACCATCCTCCTCCTTTTCCTTTCTTTCCTTCTGCTCTCTTTTTCCTACTCCTTTTTCCCCTCTTCCTCTTTGCCTCCGCTTGTCCCATGCCCCCCAACTTCGGCATGGTCATTGGTCCTTTGACTCTGTCTTGGGGTCCTGATGAAGAAGGCCTTGCTGGTGGCCCTGCAGCCGGAGGCTCTGTAGGTCAGGATGGTTTAGGTGGAGCCTGGGCTGACTGGGGCCTTTATTATGGATTCTAGAGCTCAGCAGAACCTAAAAGGTCATTGTTGTCATCATCTTAATACATGTGCAATACATTATGGGCCAGGCATTTTATTTATTTTTTTAATTTAGTCCTTACAATAATTCTCTGAGGCAGTTATTATTTATCCACATTTTACAGATGAGGAAACTGAGACTCAGAGAGTTAAATAATATGCTCCGGGTGCCCAGTGAGTGAGTAACAAACTGGGTTTGACCCATGGCTCTGTGACTGCAGGATTCTGCTTGTAACCCCTTGGCGTGCGGCTCCACCTTGGTTCTGGGTCAGCCCTGCTGAGGAAGGCGAAAAGCCGTAAAAACACAGGCATTTGAGGGCAACCGAAATCTCTTCTTTCTGCCCCACCAAAATTGAAAAGTAGATTAAGTTTTAGAAATAAAATAAATAGGACTATTCCTGCCTATCACCTCCAGCCATGGAAGCTTTTCCTGCCTTTACCGCATGTGCTGGCGGGGCAGTGGGTGCAGGGAAGCAGGGAGGCGCCTGCGTGTCCAGGCTGTGGCGCAGCCGACCCTGCCCCTTTCTGAGCCCTTCCTCTCCCCTTCCAGCTGGCATCCCCCTGCTCAGCAGCAGCCCTGCCTCCGCGGAGAACAGGCTGGGTTACGTGTCTGCCAGGTAAGCCTCCTTGTGGCTTGGTCAGGGTAGAGCCTCACGATCAAGCTGCTTGCTGTGCCTCCCCGGGTGGGTGGGACCTCTGAGGCCCCAAGAGATTAGGCAGGCCCCCAGTCCACAGAGCTGCCCACGTCTTGCCTGGGTCTGAGGCACCTGTCCTAAACCGGAGGGAAGTCAGGTCCCAGTGGGGCAGGGTTGGGCTTACCCAGCCAGCTCCATGAAGAAGCAGCCCTGTGGCACCTTTGGGGAGAAATCAGCCCCTGGTGGGACCCAGGCCCTGCCCCTTCCTATGGCCCCTCCAGCCCTGGAGTCCGGCCTTTGTCTTCGCCCTTGAGCTCGTCTGCGTCCTGTGGCTCTCTTCTTCCCCGAGTCCTGCTGAGCAACATCTGCAGTGAGAGGGGCACCCCACTGGAGAGACAGACGGGCAATTATTTAAACCTGTTATTAATTTCCCATTCATCTTATTCCTTGCCAAATGTATCCCCCCTAAGGCCCCCAGCCATAAGTACCCCTACCATCCCTTTGGCCATCTTGCGAGCTGACGCTGGGCTTGAGTCGATAGAGGGGAGCTCTTTGCTGATGGGGTTGGCTGGGAACAGGCAGATGTGGGAGCCCAGAGCCTGATGTCAGTAGTACAGACCTGGGAGTGGGGGCGGAGGCCGTCCACCACCTTCCCTTTTGGGAATTGTTCCAGAGAGGCAGCTCTTGCCGGTAGAGGAAGCTTTGAATTGCTAGAGACCCTGAAAAGGCTGCAGCTGGTAGTTGAGAGGAAGGAGGAGGCAGTGTGATGGGTTTGGGTTGGCTCTGTGCACATCCCCTTCCTCGGGCACTCCTGCCTGCCTTCTTCCTCTCCCCACGCTCTCCTTCTCTTTCCCAGTGAGCAGCTCCGCCTCTTGCAGCGCCCACATTCCCAAATCCCCCAGGCGGGCAGCACCAACTTTCAGGGCATGATCGATGCTAACCGAAAGTGGCTAGAAAATTTCAAGAATGACCCCAAGTTGTATCCTTTTAGCTGGTTCCAAAATCCTGGTCCCTTCCTACTGTAGCAGCTAGGCTGGCCTGCAAGGCCTGTCCTTGTGCCGTGGGGGTCCAGGAAGGATCCTGTTTGGCCTTTGACCCTGTCATGGCCCCTGACTGGACATGCTCAGCTGACTGCAGAGTTTTCCTTCACCCCGTGGCCAGACATCTCTTCTCGGTGCCCAAGCCAGCAGCCACGTCCAGCCTCCTACAGCTGGGCCTGGATGAGCACAGGAGGCTGAAGGTGTTTCACTACTGAGGGCTGAGCCCGGGCTTTGGGGCAGTCTGGCTCTCCTCCACCCAGACCAAGTGCCTGAGGAGCTGCCTGCACTTTATTCCATCTGGTAAAGCGTTCTCCAGTCCCCTTTGCCACTTGCCCCACTGAGGACTTGGAGGAGCCACCAGGAACCCGGGGGGTGGGTGAAACAGTAAGCCTCACACTCTGTGCCCACGTAATGTATCTTGGGCTGAAACGTGTGGACTTCTGCGAGCTCCTGCATCGATGTGGCAGACTGATAACGTGCAGCAACTGTGGAGCACTGGGACGTGAGCACCTTTGGGAGGAAGCTGCCTTCAGGACCCAGGGAACGTGTGGAACTGGGTTGGTCCCTTGGCCCTGCAGGGCACCGCGTGGGGCTCCCGTGGAGGTTGTGTATATGGTTCTCGATTCACCAGGACAAAGCCCTCCAGCATGCTTGTACCCTGGGGCCAGGCTCTGCTGGGCCCACACCTGTCTCTCCTGTACCTCAGCCTCAAAGATCAGACGCTTTCATTTTTATTTTTCTTTTCTTTCTTTCTTTTTTAATGTCTCTTTTCTTGAGCATTCTGTCTTTCCTTTTGACTATCTCAGGACTGGGCTCAGCTGCCCAGAACCCTGTGGAAGGTTGCTGGGGGCTGTCCCTCTGCTGCACTGTGCTTTCCTCAGGGACCGTCCTCAGGAGTGCCCCCCCCCACCCCCCGTCCCTCGGGCTCTTCCCCAGAGCCATCCCAGCAAGTCTCAGGTCTCAAGCATACAATTTCTCCAGGAAGCCAGAAAGCCACGGGAAAGACTGGGATGGCTTCTGGTTCTCAGTTTTTCTCTTCCTAGAACACCTTGGGTATTCATGAGTCCTTGTTTCTGTCTTTTCTACCTGTGCCTCCGCGGTCCCTGACACCACTACTGCCACCTCTTCTCAGAGCCTGGCTGGCAAGGGGCTGGGCCAGGGCCTGGCACGGGCAATGAGGGCTCTGGTACCAGCTGGAGCTGTTGCCACTCTGGCAGAGCTTCCTGCAGCCCCACTTCCCATCGGTGGACTCCTTGGGGAGCGGGGAGTATTGCAGGAGATGTTCTCTGACATCCATCTCATCGTTTAAATAAAATGCCCCCATTTTTCTTGTCTTGAAAGCCATGGGGTTGCCCTTGCCTCTCTAACACATAGAAGCCAATTCTCACCATCCCCCTCTCATTGCTTTATCATGCAATAAGGAACTCAGATCTAATTGACTATTTTACCCCTCAGATACTTTTTAGGCATCAGCCTGCCACACAGAAAAGCCCATTTTGTTATTTGGCTCATTTTGTGTGCTTTGGGAATAGCTCATGTGATACAGCCAACTCTGGTGGTGACAATCCTGTGTTTTCTGCATCAATTAAATCTCTGCAGGTCCATTTTTCTACAAGGCAGTTGTGTGAATGTGTCTACTTCTCTTTGGAGGGCTTTGCTTCCTTCTTCCTGAGAAGGGAGGAAGGAAAAATTAATATTCGTGGAACACCACCCTAGGTAGTCTCTGATTTAATCATCACAACGATGCAGTAGTTAATGTAGGTACTTTCTGCTTCATTTTTATGGATGAGGAAGCCAAGGCTCAGAGATCTTTAAGTCCTAGGGTCCCCAGTAAAGTAGCTGAGATGCCCACACGTGCAGAACGCCCACACTCCGTCCCTGCACCCCCAGAGCACCCTCGGTCCCTTTCCCAGTCCTTGGGAAGTGATGTTCTCCACCTCTCCCTTTGCCCCCTGCCTCCCCCTGACCTGCCAGCTGGAGACCCATGATGCCATTTCCCAAAGGCCAGTTGGCTTTTCCCCCAATGCAAATGAAAGATAAGCCCCCCAAGGTCCCTAAGCTGGCAAAGTTGATTTTTTTCTGCTCCAATGGTGTGAGCAGCTTACATACAGTCTTGGATTTGTAGCAACAGAATTGCTAGGAGGGCAAACCGAGATGGCCAGTTTCATTGTTTTGCGTAAGAAAGCCAACTTAAAGACAAAACTTCCAAAAGAACCCAGCCTAGTGTCCTGGCCACTTCAGCTCAGTTGTGAGATGTTTATGGACTTTTCCGCATTCCTAAGGGAGCAATGTTGGGAATGATGATAGACCACCCCCCACTAACCCCCCAAATAAATACTTCCACACAAAATAGCAGTATGGAGCATGGGGAAATAACCCTGGCCTCAGGATGCCTGGGTTTACTCTTGACTCAGTTGCCTACAAGCTTTGACCTGAACAAGTCCTTTCTGGGCCCTTGTTCCTCCTTTCTTCTTACATTTCCTACCTAGTTCCCCTCCCTGCCTGCCCCGTGGAATGTGCCTTCTCCAGCAGCTATGTCCCGAAGTGAAGGGCCACAACAAAAGGAAGACAAGCTTACCCTTCTTTTCCAGTTCTCTTTAATTTGGAACAAGAATGCACTCTGGGTTTCCCATTCCCAGAAGCTGGTGGTTCACGCGGCCAGCACACACATTGGCAATGACCTTGTTTCTAGTAAGTGAGTCCATTGAAATGTGGAGCCTTAATTTGTATGAGACATATCACTGTCACTCTGAAAGAAGAAAATAGAGGTGCTGGCGCCCCGCTGTCATAAGCACTGCTCACATCCGAGTAGGGTTGGGGAGACGGCAGACATTTGTAAATAGGAGTCTTTGTAATTTAGAATCTGCCAACATTTTTTATCAGGTGGGAGGAGAGGAAATGGCCAGGGATTCTGCTTCGAATAGCACGTTCCAGGACAGTGCAGACGCATGCATGCATGTACACCAGAGTGCTTGGCTCCGTTGTGGGTTGGAAAGTCTGCCTCTTATGCTGGGTAACACCCCAGCTCTTGGCTTTGAGGTCACCTTACACTGTCCCCATCAAGCTTATTATCCTGATTGTTGTGACTGCTTTTAGAAGATCTAGTGGCATTTCTTCTAGAGAGGGTATAGGAGTCCCCTTCTGGCCCCGCAGGGCACTGTCCTCAAAGCCCTGATCCTCTTCCCCTGTGGGGCCCCACACGGCCTCCCTGGGAGGGCCCACTCCCTGAGAGTCCAACAGCTCCTTTTCCTTTCCAGGGTCTCTGAGGATAGTGGGACTGTGGAGAGGCTCCCAGCAATGCTCTCTCTGACCCTCAGGCTCGGGTTGGGATCCCAGGGCTCCTTGAGAGGGAGCGAAGAGTGATGGGTTGCAGGCCTGTGGAGACGCTGGCACCAGAGTGCATGACAGTAGAACAGGCTCTCGTACATACTTCTGGGATGGACCAATGGCCACAGTTTGTTTGGGGGCAAGGCTTAGGACAAGATGGCCGAGGATGAAGGATCAGCACCCCTCTTCCTTGGTTGGATCAGATCATCTGGTTAGTTTCCTCCCTCCTTTGTTTTTGCCTTGAAAGAACCTTATCACTTCCTCTGATCCATATGTCAGTTGCTTCCCCTAGGCCCTGCACTCTGATCAGATAGGGGACTGGATCTGGGTCTCTGGGATGATTGATCTGGAGTTGGGAGAGAGCTACTGGGTTCATTAAGCCAGCTAAGCCATAGCCCTTCTGGGAGCATTAGTGTCTCTCCAGCAGCCTTCTTACTATGCAGGGAGAGCTCTGCATCTGTGATGAAGTGGTTTGTGGGCAGGCAGCACGGCCTGGGAGGGAAGCACAGACCCTCCCGCAGCTCTGGCAGGATGGGGTGCAGGTTGTGCTCTTCTAGTTCTAAAAAAATCCTAAGGTCGGAGAGGTCAGCCTCCTTCCTGGCTTTGCTCTCTGGGATAGAGTGGAGGGCCTAGGGGACATTTCTGATGGCCTCCACGGAGGAGAGGGACATCTGTTCTTGGGAGATAGAAAGCAGAGGGACAGTTTGGGGAGTCCCACTGTCAGGGTTAAAAGCAGAGAGGATATGAATCCAACAAGGATTCTTTAGCCTCTCTATATCTCAATTTCCACATCTGTGAAATGGGGTTAATAGTATTATCTATCCCATAAAATGGTGTGAAGGTTAAAGAGGTCCTCAGAACAGTGTCAACGCATAGTAAGGCCTCAATCAATGTTAGTTGTTGTTACCATCCTGGCAGGAGAGTCAGGAACCATGACTGAGGTGCTGGAACTTGCGTCACCTCCCATGAGTAACAGCAAAAGTCTTGGACACAAAGGACAAAACAGCAAGGAAGAAGTTTCCTGGGGGATTATGCTCCTCTTCGTGGCCAGTTATGTGTGAAAGAGGAGATGAGAGAAGGGAGGAGGGGAGGAGAGAAATGGAAAGTGTAGGGTCTGAAGCAGACACACAGGCAAGAGGCAGAGCAGAGCCTGTCCGGCTTGAGAGATGGTGCCCTGGGTTGGGACATAAGACTGGCTTCTGGGAGCCAGTGCCTGTCAACCGCATGGACCTGGGAGTTTGAGGACACAGGCCTCGACCACTCTCTGAGTGACTAGTCCCCCTGTAGGGGCACTGCTGGGGCAGCTTGGGCACCAAGGCCTGGGATTGGAAAGGGGCAGAGGTGGGGAGTGGAGTTAGGACTCCTCTGGATTACCTGTTACATTAGGCTGGCTCCAAGGCTCTGTATTGTGCCTCTAAAGGCACTGGGTTCAAATCCTGGCTGCCATTTATTAGCGAGACGTGAGAACTTTTGGAAATGAGTCCTCTTTTTAGGCCTCAGTTTCCTTATTTGTCTAATGGGGCTGCAAATACCTCATATGGAGAGGACGAATGAGATAACCCACGTCAAATGCCCTGGGTGAAACACCCTATAAACTGTAGAGTGCTGTGGAAATGCAAGTTGTCATCCAGCCTCTGCTCGAAATGCTCCTGAGGACAAGGCGCTTCTCACCCTCTAAGGTGGCCGATTCTGCTGTTGACCAGCGCTGAGGTGGCAGTCGGCAGCCTTTTCTTACAGCTCTGCCCTGGAGTCACACAGAAGAAAATGCCCCCTCCACTTCCTCCACATGACGTAATGAAATTGGTCTCAGATACCTCCCTGCCCCCGCTTGTCCCTCTTATGAACATGCACGCGTGTGCACACGGAGTTATGGCGTAGTGCACATTTATATTCCCCCAGGGCCTCTTACTAATAATAGCCTCTGCTTGCTTAGGATAACGCAGCGCTAAGTGCTTTACCTACCTGCAGATCTCACTGAATGCTCACAACACTATGAGGTGCGCAGTATGATCTCCATTTTACAAAACGAAAAAGAAAAAAAGACTTGGAAGGGTTAAGCTACTACTAGGCTGCAGAATCAGAATTCAAACCCAATGTGTTGTACAGATGGCTGTGTGTGGGCACACTTGTGGGGACAGTGCATGCACCCTCATGAGTGTGCGCCCTCCCTCCTAGCACAGGGATTGGTGGGCAAGGGTGGGGGACAGGGAACGGGGTCCAGAGAGGCTAGGGAAAGTTCTGGAGGAAAGGCCTGGTCTACCCTTCCTCCTCTTCCCTCCGGCTCTCCCTGCTTCAGAGGCCAATGGAGCCTCCGACTGAAGGCAAGACAGCGTTGTGTGCTTGGAGATAAATAGCCTGTCTCCTCCGTCCTCAGCCCCTCTTGGAAAAGTTGGCAGGCCCGGGGCCACAACAGCATCCACTCTGCTGTAGCCACAAAAAGAGGTCG